TTTGATGGTTAAATGGTTTTAATTAGCCCTTTTAATGGTTATAATACTGCACTGTATGGCTTAATCTAACTTATCTGATGAATCACCTGCTAACAGACATTTCAGACTGTTTTAATGTTTTGTTACTAACACACAATGGCACAATGAACACCTGCATGCAGATAACCGAATCCATAAGCCTATTATTTCCCTAGGATCAATTCCTGCCAGCAGACCTATCCATTTTTAGTTATATTAAAACAAACAAACAGATCCCCTCGTGAAAATAGGCTTGAGCTCCAGATTCCCTTGCACAGGAAGGCCCCACCACAGGAAAGAGAGTGCTTTCTTACTGGTCCCAGGCACCCTTTACCTGGCGAGGTGCTGATTCTCTGCTGACAACATGGCCATGCCCCACCTCTGTGGCTCCTTGATTCTGACCTAAGGAATTCTAYGCTCTCCACACTTCACCCTGCCACAGCCTGTGGCAGAGACTCAACAGTCTCCCTTGGTACYTCCTGGACATCTTATTCTGTTGGGACACTGTATGGCCTGCTGAAGCTAATTGAGGGATGTGTATGCTTGCCTTTTTGACCGGCTTTATGTGAAATCTGCAAGGCCTTTACTGTCCTCTTGCACTTATTTTCAGTCAGCTTCTAAAGCTGTGTGCTTTTTCAGTATCTTATTTATTTATTTTTTTATTTGGATGGAGTCTTGCTATGTTGTCCAGGCTGGTCTTGAACTTCTGGCTCAAGTGATCCTCCTGCCTCAGCCTCTTGAGTAGCTAGGATGACAGACGTGTGCCACTGTGCACAGTATACACGGTACATTTGTGAAACTGCTAAGAGGTTCTCGTTATCTACAGGGTCCCCACTTTACTTCTCATTAACACCTGACATCAGCAATAGCTTTTAATTGCCCCTGTCACACAAGTCTTTATAATTCCAGAGTGCCTCCCATGGGCATATCTCTAAGACAATGCTCAAGGCAAATGCTCAAAATCAAACACATCTCTGGTGACCTACAGACACACAACCACTGTGTTCTCACTCTACATCCCCTCTTTTTGAAGGGAGACACTTCTTTTCCTCCCATTGGTTTTTGTGAGGGGGGAAATCTCCAATTAGCAAGATGGTCCTTTCCCTACCGCTTAGTCCTCAAAACAGAGTTGAAGGTGTCCCCTGGCTGGCAAGCTGGGAGAAGACTCAGGCACATGTAACTCTTCTACACGCAGCCCTCTGGAGAGCCAGCTCCCTGCCCCCAGCTCCCTGTCCCCAGCTCCCTGCCCCACTCTACTYTGTCCCCTGGCCCTCCCTGTTTTGTGGGGGCAGGTTGCTGAGCAAGGGCCCTGTGGTTGACTAGCACATCTGTCCAGTGCTGGGCTCAGTGTGAAGCCCACTACTGCCATACACCTAAGCCACCTGGGARCAAAGCAGAATGTGGGGAAGCAGGTATTCTCAATGTCCACTGAGAGCACTGCCAGGATAACTAGGAGAGTAGCCGAGTGGAGAGGACAGGGACCAACAGGAATATCAGAGTGTGAATGGGCAGGATGATAATCGAACCCATAAGCCTATTATTTCCCTAGGATCAATTCCTGTCAGCAGACCTATCCATCTTCTTCCAGCTCTTCCATCTTCTTTTTTTTTTTTTTTTTTAATATTTATTTTTTAGTTCTCGGCGGACACAACATCTTTGTTGGTATGTGGTGCTGAGGATCGAACCCTGGCCGCACGCATGCCAGGCTAGCGCGCTACCCCCTGAGCCACATTCCCAGCCCTCTTCCATCTTCTTCAAGTGACTCAGAACGCAGGTGTGGGAGGCCCTGATTCCTCGGCCCCACACCAGCGTGGGCAGCTCCCCTTACCCAGCGAGACGATGCTCTCATAGTTCTCCAGCATCACCGCCTTATAGAGGGCTCTCTGAACAGGGACCAGATGCCTCCACTCTTCGTCTGTGAAAATCACAGCCATGTCCTCGAACGTCACAGATCCCTGAAACACAATCACATACCCCCTTACTCATGAGCCTTCTTGTCACTTGGGCCAGACTGAAATGGCATAAAGGTGACAGCCCTGGACGGTGTGGCGGGGCACCGGGCCATGGCTCTGACAAAGCAAGGCTCTGAAACATCTGGAAAAGGCACCCATGACAAGAGTTCCCAGTTGCAATCCAGTCACCCAAGCCTGCATCTTTACCCTGGTTTTAGAAGCCTGGATGAGTGTCTGTAAGTCCTGGGACASAGTGGGAATTCACAACTCTCCACCCTTGAAAGGGGAGCTGCATGTCTCCACCCAGTAAGACTCTCTTTGGGACCCTGGAGGCCTGGCTGAGGTGCCCCCAGTGTTCCAGGGGGTGCTGGGTGGGCTGGGTGCTGTGGACCATGGGGCCCATACTCAGTGAATGCGTGGATGCACTCCTGGATGGGCAGGGTGGAGCCAGAACTGCTCCCARTCTTCCCCTTGGCCCTGCGCTGTCAGCTGCTAGACAGACCACTCAGAGCAACAGCTGCAGGGGTTGGGTGCCTGGTGACGAGCAAGGGGGGCCAGGCTCGAGACAAGAGATGGACACTGAAGGACACCTCAGGTCAAAGGGAAGTCCTCCCTGTGGAGTGCCTGGTCCACTGGTTGGGGCTGACCAAGAGTTCCAGGAGAGAGAAAGACAAGTGGTGACATTCTGGAGACTCATTAGTGTACTCCAGAAACACAAAAGTCCCCGGCTAAGGAAGTAGCTCAGGAGTACAGCACTTGTGTAGGCCTGGGCTCATCCCCAGCACTGGGAAAAGAAACATGAGGTTCTCCTTACCTGGCACGTGGCAGGTGGTGCTGCAGCAGCCATTCCCTCCTGTGTGTGCTCCCAGAAGCAAAGGGCAGAGTCCTGACAAGGCAGGGTGTGGGTGAGAAGGCAGCCATGAGAAAGGTCTGTCCTGATATGTCACCTCCTGACTCGCGGAGCAAGGACTCTCCAGTGCCAGTGGCCATGTCCCCACCCCCTTCCCAACACCCACAGAAGGGCAGCCAAGGTAGAGCTAGGCCAGGAGCAGCCCTGGCCAACCCCTGGGTGGAAGCCAGGCCATGGGTGCTGTGAGTTACACTACGTGCGGTGCTTGTTTTCACAAGTTCCTTGGGAAAGAGATCGGTACCCGGGAGTCAAGAGAGCGGTAAAGCTCGCAGTCAGAATGGCAAGAATCCCAGAAATAATAAACACTGGGGAGGAGGGGCAGAAGAAGAACACTTCACTCTGTGGGGCACTGTTCATTAGCACAACCACTGGAAATCAGTATGGAGGTCCCTCAAAAGACTAGGCACGGACCCAGCTACCCCGCCATATGACTCAGGTATACTGTTCCTTGGTATTTATCCTGAAAAATTAAAATCATCTTATTATAGAGATACATGCATGGCCAACAGCCAAATATGGAACCATCGGGGCATCCATCAACAGATGGATGAACAAAATATGGTATGTATATACACCATGGAGTTTTACTGAGCCATAAGAAAAATGAAATTATGTCATTTGCAGGAAAATGGATGAAACTAGAAACCATTAGGCCAAATTCAGAAAGTCAGGTGCCATATGTTCTTCCTCACACACAAAAGCTAAAGAGGAAAAAAGGTAAAGAAAGGTGGGGGAGCAGAGATCTAGTGAAAATCAAAAGGAGATCAGCAGAGGACCAAGAGATGGCAGGTGGGGAGGAAGAGGGAAGTGCTGGGGCAAGGGGGATATTGGTCAAATGACATTGTTATATTGTGTGCGTGTGCAAATATGTAACAACAAATCCCATCAATATGTATAACTATAATGCACCAATAAAAAAAAAAGTGGAAGGAGAAAAATAAGCATTAAAGTTCAGAGGTTATTTATCCAATACTGCCCTGAGTGTTCACTGGACAAAAACCATAAACAAATCTGTAAGTGACTATATGGAGGAAACACACCCAGCAAAACCCACAGCCTCCCCAAAGGAAAACACACTCCACTCCAGTTCCTGCCGAAGGAGCAGCCCTCATTGACCACGTGACCCTGCATCTCATTCCTGGAGCCACAGTGACTGGGTGGGTGACACAAGTATCAAACTACTGAGTGATCCAGCCTGAAAAGATGACATCCTTGCACGGGAACGTGACCAGGGAGTGTCAAGACAGCATGTGGCAATGAGTTGAAGGAGTCTCAAGGTCCCCAAGTAGCCATGGAACCAGAGGAAGAACCACCCATGGGCAGTGGGAGGCACAAGCAGAGTAAAGTTCATGTCAGTGGGACGAGGAGCAGGGGGGAAGGACAGCCTGACCCTCTGATGGAGACTGAACCAGGCCCTGAGAGTCCCTGGGAAGCGTTTCTGGGGTTGGTGGGTGAATGGGGAGACAGCAGGCCAGGGAAGATGGGGGAAGGTGGGCTTGTGGCTCACCAGTAGCTTTCCTGCAGTCAAGGGAAAGGGTCACTGCTCCCTGTGAGTCATTCATTCATCCACTCAACCAGCAGTTATTTGGCACCAACTGTTTATAGCAAGTAAAACATGTGCAAGGAGCATTCCTTGCCTCCAGGAGCCAAGAGCCCTGGACTCAGGTCAGGGAAACAAAACGGCATTTCCCTGCGGGATAGGTAAGTGCTGTAAAACTGTGAAGGCCCCACAGGGCTCCCCTGACCAGCCCCGAGAGGGGGTGGGGACACTGCAGCTCTCCTGGTAGAACCAGAATTTATGCAGTTTTGAGGTGGGGAGGAAGCAGGGAAAAAAACTCCAGTTATTGAACACTAAAGAGGCAGATCTTTACGTGGAAAGGATTAAGAACTGAAATCCGTTTGGAACAGCAAAAGTCTAGGCTGTGAGCAGGGCTAGGAAAAGACGGAGAAGCATAGGCCACCTACATCAAGGGCTTTGCACAACCCCTGCCTCACAGGCAGGGGTCCTGGAGGGACTTTAGCCTGGGTGCACCATCGTCAGACCATGCTTCAGAAAGATCACTGACTTGTAGTGAAGACCTGAAACACATTGGCTCTCAGTATCTATAGGGTTGGTTCTAAGACCCCCATAAATACCCAAAATAAATCCCACCCCACCCCAAAAGGGATGCTCAAGGGTTCATGTAAAATTTGGGGTCAGGCCTGAGAATATAGCTTAGTGGTAGAGCACCTGCCTAGCATGCACACCCCAGCACTACACACACACAAGGATTTCTAGGAAATATCAACTTAACCTGCAATTTTTTTAAATATTTATTTTTTAGTTGTAATTGGACACAATAACTTTATTTCCCTTATTTATTTTTATGTGGTGCTGAGGATCGAACCCAGGGTCTAGCACATGTGAGGCGAGCTCCCTACCCCTGAGCCACAACCCCAACCCCTGAAATTTTTTTTTTTCTTAAAGAAAAAACTGAAGCCAGGTGCAGTGGCACATGCCTGTAATCCCAGTGGCTCCGGAAGCTGAGAAAGGAGGATCGCGAGTTCAAAGCCAGCCTCAGCAAAAACAACTAAACTAAACAACTCCATGTAGACCTGTCTGTAAATAAAATACAAAAAATAGGGCTGGGGATGGGGCTCAGTGGTCAAGTGCCTCTGSGATAATCCCTGGCACCCCCAAAAATAAATAAAAGGAACTGAAGATGTAAGTCAGTGATAAACTGCCCCTAGGTTCAAACCCCCCCTACAAACAAAACAAAACAAAACAAAAACTGAAGGAAAGAACATACACAAAATATTAAGCGAAGAATGCACAATCTTGAGATTAGATATTTGTGCATGCACGTATGTATAGAAAAAGGAAGAACACATTAAAATGGAAGTGGAATTTGAGAAGTGGAATTATGAGGAATTTTTATTTTACTTTAACAATTCTCCATATTTCCTGATTTTTTTTTATTCACTTTGGTGCACAAGAAAACAACAGGAAGGAAGAGGGGTATGCAGCCGTGACAGCAGCCAGGGAGTGCTACCCCTGGAAGGCTCCGCCCACAACACTGGTCCCTGGCCAGCCTCGGGGGAACTTTGATTTTGAAAGGGTCCCCCAGTTCCCTAAAAACCAGGACAGTTGGCTCTGCCTAAACCATGTGTGCAAACGACCTGGTTTATGGTAACATCTGCTTTCCTGCTGAAGATCTAGAATTCTGGTGTGTGTTAGGCAGAGGGCGCTGTGAGCAACCTTTGATAAAAACCCTGGACCCTGAGCTTCCAATGAGCTGCTGCGTTTTGTTGTCAGGGAGGGAGGTGCTTTGTGTCACCTCTCATGGGAGGGAGGGCACGCAAGCAAAGCCACACATGGATTCCTCCAGATGCTGCCGGTGTCCTCCCTTATGACRGGCTGTGTATCCATGCAGGGTTGCAGTCACAGTCTGAGCCACAAGTACAGCTACAGGCTGAGTCCCCAGTCCTTGTGAATCTGTGAATGTGGGGTGATCTTGTGGACACCGCACTCTGATTAGCTGTGGCAGGATGGAATTAGAGGAGGCAAGAATGGCGGATACCAGTGAGGAGACTGATAATTAAGGAAAAGTGATCAGCAGCTGAGCAAAAGCAGTGGCATCGGAAATGGAGAGAAGGGACACCATTGTCAAGATACCAAGAACAATAGGTAATAGCCTGGAAGCAAGGTGATGCCTTCTGGGTCACTGATCTGAGCAGCAGTGCAGAAAATGATGTCATTCGTGCAGGTGAGCAATAGGGAAGTAGGCTGAAGGGATGGCTATTGAGGACAGTTGGGGATCAATCCCACATCCTGAAATAACAAAACTAAATATTTGTAATTTGGCTCCCCTTGGCCAAATTACAAATATTGAAATTGCTAAATGAAATAGCTCAGTATAGAAAAGTTAATATAAAGTGTACCAAAAGTGGACATAATACAAAGCCAATGCTTAAGTCTTCAGTTATATCAAAAGTACTTTCTATCAATTACGAAACTTTTCATAGAGAATAGATGTACCCTTGTGGTACACACTTATTCATTCATGTAACCAGAAAGAAAGGAACCCAGGGGGCAAGGATAAGCCAAGTAATTCCAGAAACAGAAACTGCTTGTCCCACACAGGGAGGACAGATCAGAACATGGGCCACTCAGAAGAGTGAGGCAGAGGAAGCTATGCCCCTGTCCACGAGCCAATCCGACTCCAAACATGCCAAGTAATTGTGGAGACTTAATCCTCCCTCCCTGAGATGGGCCCTCCAGCTTGATGACTAATTACCAGATATTCACAAGAAACCATGAAGTTTTAAAAACTGCCAAAACTCAAGACCAATATGTATAGATTGCTGGTCTGTTAGCTTCTAACTCTAAAATGGCTCTATTATATTGTTGGATAAGTTTGGGGATTTTTCTGGTTTATTGGTCTATAATCTAAGCAGATATCCTTTTGGGAAAAATACCTCATTATGATATACAGTTAAAAGATGCAAGACAGACAGGGATTATTAATAATGTGTTAACAATGGCCACCTCAAGGGTGGACACTGGTTTGCAGAAACTGAAACCTATGTGGCAAGCAAAATCTTAAAGAAAAAAAAATCTAACTTAGAGTTTAGTGTAAYAACAACAACAACAACAACAAAAATCTGAACCTAAGAGAGATTGGAGTTTGAATTTCCTTAGGAGGAGGCAGAGAGTGATATAAATGCAAATATAAACAAAGATATATCCTCAGATGATAATCAGAGCCTATAACTAAGACAGTTTTCTTTTCCTTTCTAGTCTGTTAAGAGTCTTCCATGTCCAGGAGGGTGTTCAGATATTGACTCTTGAGCCCTACGACGACATCTCAATTAATATTTAGAAATACAGATGAGTACAGTCATTAGGAGCCCAGGCTCTGGTGCCAGATTGCCTGAAATCAAAGTCCAGCTGTGCTTCACCCTACCTCTGTGACCTTAGAAAAGTTTCCTACCTTCTGTCTCAGCTTGTCAATCTGTAACAGTGGATTATTGATACAATGTGTGTAGTTATCTTGATGCTTAAGTAGGATGATACCTAAAAAGTATTGAGAATAATGAGCTAAGTAAATGTTAGCATTAGGTAAAAGTGATCTGACCATCTGGGAAGGCATAAAAAATTAAAATGAAAAATATTAATTACATTATGTTGTTGCTTTAGGTCTAAGTGTAAGTATATTAAGAATTTTGGAAGACAAGTTATTTGTATATGTTGTCCAAAGCACTGAAACTTTTTGTAACAAATAAACTACATCTGAAGTTATAGTTGGAGTTGATCAATGCTTAAATGCTTAAAGACAATTTTCAAGATTTTATTAGACTGACTTTAATAAGCTGAGCATTGAACAAATCACAAATGGTGTCCAACATGAAATCTCCTCAAGTGTTAAAGTAGCAGGTCTTCCCAAAGCGCTCATCATGCCAGGTAGACTTCATTCCCCACAGGTCTGGACCATAGCAGCAGTTGCTTCAGTAGGCTCCTGCTGAAAAATCGGGACTCTACAGCACACCAAGCTCATGTAGAGTCACTGTCAGCAAAGGGTCACCTCTACTGCTTTCTCTTTTCCTATTCCTGGATTTTGGAGTATCAAATTCAAATCCACACTCTTTAAGTGACCCTTGTCGTTGCCTAAAAAGTTTTTTAACACTCCCATCTTGGCCATGTACCTATTCCAAACCTGTCTTCTCTTCTACATACCTATTCCAAACCTCCACAGTTACCATTCGACTTCAGCACGACTTTGTCTTCTACTACACTGAAGATGTGCAAGAGCGAATTTCCAGGGAGGCAGGACCGTGTGGTAGAAAGTACTTGGCAGGCAAGTTTAGTAGTATTAACCATGAAGCCTTGGGCAAGTTACTTAAGGCAACCATTGGCCCAGATGTTTACTATCTAACTCCAGAATAGTTATAAATAGGAAATGAGACAATATAAAGTACTTATCACAGTTTTTCCAATAAATGAAAGTTCTCTACCCTGCTACTGCCCATCACCAACCCATTCATTCATTCATATCACTATCAACAACTATTAACAAGTATCTGCCATGTGCTGGGCTGTAAGGTGTGTGAGGCCAGCAAGACAGATCTGTCTCCTGGACTTGAGTTTATGTACTACCCCCCRCTGTCCAACTTTCCTTCTCAATTGTTTCCCTCAGAATCTGCTACCTGCTAATGCAGGCTCTCTTTTCCCAGCATTTCTCAGCTCTCTAGAAGTTTCTTCTCACCCCTTCAAGCATATAAAAACCTCCTCTAGTTGAATCCCATGGCCTCCCTCCAGCAAAACAGTTCTCATTTAGGTTTTCCTTTACGATCCAACTTCCTGGGTGAGTAACTCACCTTCTGACTCCATGTCTTCACCATTGACTCCACTCAAATCCCTGTCAGTCACTCTTGCCTCTCACACATCTGAAACCACATGCTTCAAAATGAAAACTCTGGCATGAATTCCAAAGACCTTTTCCTTCTTTTCTTTACTTCTCTACAACTTCTGACTGGATAAGTTTCTGCCTCTTCAACCAGTTACAGTAGTTGCCTTGATGCTGCTTGGGTCTCACTTTTATTCCTACCTCTGAAACTTCTGTCTTCCTGGCTCCTTTGTCCCATCTTTGCCCTAGAAACAAGGATGATTCCCATAGGTTGGTCTTTATGCAATGTTTTCCTTTCTATCCTGGGGATATTCACCCACATCCAGGGCTCTATTTTCCACCTCTACAAAGATAGTTCCAAATTCCAATCAACTCCTTTTCTGAACTCATCTTTTATTTCCAAATGGTGACAAGTTTTGAATTAGGCATCAGCTGAAAACCACCTTCCTCTACACAGTTGCCATTAACTCCTCTCCCTGCTTTTTCTATCAGATGTTCTATTATCCTCCCAGATGTCCCAAATCCAAACTCTTACACCTCGCTCTCGTTTCTCCCAAATTAAGTCACCAGGCCCTTTAGACTCTTTTGCAATGTCATTCGTACCCTTTCCCTGCCACTAACACCATGAAAATTCAAGTCCATAACTGCTTGCTTCAGAACGGAACCCTACCATTATTCTCTTCCACTCTAATCCTGAATGTGACCACAAGAGTGACTATCCCTGTCAGTCTTCTGGTCAGACCCATAAATCTGGTCTGATTATTGGGTCTCGGGGGACACCCTGTGCTCTGGCCTCGGTGTACGCTTCTTCACCCGGTCTCCTGCTATTCCTCCAAATTTGCCCTCCAGTAAAATTCATCTCTCTCAAGTCTGCCTAACACTTTGGTACTCCTTTTACACCCCCCCCCCAACAATTCCTACCTCCTACATGAATCCAGCCCCTCGATCGCGTCCTCGGGCACAAACTCAGGGCAGGAGATTAATGACGAATGTAAGGCGCTTTTTGGGAAAGAGTCAGGGCTAGGTGGGCGGCACTCTAGACTGGGTGTCAAGCCCACCCATGGTCATTAGCCCCGAGTTAGGGGAAGAAGAGACGGCAGAGCGAAGGAGGACCCCGCAACCTCCACCCCGAAAGTCCAGGATCTGGCGCGCGGTGGGTGCGCACCGCAGGACCGCTGGCAACAGTGCCACGGCACACACGGCAGAGGACAACTTTGCGTCCGCACCTTTCCAGCGGGGACGTGGCCACACACATCTGCAGACTGGCTCCGCACGCGCCACCCCGTCCTCTCCTACAGCGCCTCCCCCAAACCCCCAGCGTCCCCTTCTCTCGGCCGCTGCGCTCACTTGGCTCCTGGAACATACAGACCCGCAACCCTCACCTCCGGCACAGAGTGCTCGGGACCCGGGAAGACGGCACCACTTCAGGTCGTACGGCAGTGCGCCTGTGCGAAGGCCCTGGCGGCCGCGCTCCCAACCAAGGAGCTGTCTTCGCGGGACTCCAATTCCCAGAAGCCCCGGCGGCCGGCGCGCCTAGAGATGACGTGTAGGACCGCGCAAGCGCACGCGCCGGAGAAAGGCTCCGGGGCTAACACGACCCCGCCCGCTTAGTGGTCTCCCTAGCGGCAGAGGTGCAGCTGTGGGTGCCTGGGAGGCTTAGGGTCGCCCTGAAGTATGCCCACGTGTGATGCCACATTCCTCCAGCCCTCCATTTATAGAGTTGTCCGAAGGAAATGCGTCCCTAACCTTGGGCACAACGAAGGCGATATCCAGTCTTCTGGCTCCGCTTCCGCCTGTCCATTTGCAGGAATTTGATTCTGAGATTTGGGGAGAGAGGTTTGGAATTTGGTTCTAAAGACTGCGCTATGGCTGAGGGAGGGTCTGCGCGCATATTTGTACCGGAAGAAAAGAAGGGCCCACGGTAGTACGTGTACTTAACTGGGCAGCGGGAACTGAACGCCCAACGGTTTGAACACACCAACCTGCCTCTCGTGGTGCTGCTGGAGAGGCCCAGGCTGGAGACGTGGCCGATTCTTAACCGTGGAAGAGTATGAAAAGATCCAGAGGTGACTCTACTGCGCAGCTAAAGAGCCACCGAGCTACATGGAGCTTCAGAGAAGACTAAAAATTACACAAAGAAGGTGAAACTCTTACTTCAGGAACAAGTCTACTTTTTCACTAAAAACAACAACAACAAACCTAAATTGCTTATTGTAAAAAAAGTTGCTGCCCAAAATGAGCTCATGACCCAGTGATAAAATTTGAAATTACAATACAATGAAGTATGTTTAATAGGGGAAGTACAAGCGAGGAAGCAACTAACTATGGCTCAGAAAGGTGTTATCTAGTGCMCTTGAATAATGAATATTTGTTAAGAAAGTGCAATCTATGCAGAGAATAGCACATGCAAGGTATAGACTAGAGGATGAAAATGCAAAGAATTAACAGCAAGATGAACAGCTGGTGGATAAGGTTCAAGGGCTGATTATAGTATCCTGGGGTCAGGCTGAAGCAGACTTAGTTGTACTGTCCCGGCTTTCCTAGGAGAGTAGAACTTGATTAAAGTCATGACATCTAAGATATATTTTCTTGMTATTTTGATGGTGGTTTTTAGTATACATTTAGCCTTATATTGACAGGAAACTTTGGAGGTCCTAAATGAGTTTCCTCCTAGAGTTCCTCATCCACTGGCAGGGCCTACATCCTAGGTTTTATTGTCCCAAGTAACTGTCAAAGTGAAAGTTTATGACTCCATTTCCCTACAACTATATGTGCTTATGTATGTTACTAAATGGGATGTAAGTGGATATATTGTATAGCATCTTCTAACAACCTGCCTTAAGAGACAACTAAAAAGGAACTGTTATTCACATGACTACAAGAATGACTCAGGGCTTTATACCAAGTGACAGAAGCTAGTCTTACAAGGTTTTACATACCTGGTGATTCCATTTATAACATGTTCTGGAAAAGGCAAAACTGTAGGACAGAGAACAGACCAGTGGTCATAAGGAATTGAGTGGGAGAAGCACTTGACTATAAAAGAACACAAAGAGAATGTTGAGGTGATGGGGAACCTATAGGCTGGCGGGAACTGGAATTCCCCTAAAAGTGTTTTTGAGATCAAATGGCCCATCTAGAGCACTGAGCCAGGGAGAGAACATTCCTGATAGCACTGATTAGCACTGGGCAAGAAATGTACATTGTAGCAAAGGCCTCTGGGTCAAGATTTGTCTCAAGGGACTGAATTTAAGAGTGGAGAGTTTCAGTGGGGTGTAGTGGCTCACATCTGCAATCCCAGCTACTTTGAAGGAAGGATAAGCACCAGGATTTCAAATTCGAGGCCAGCCTGGATAATTTAGCAAGATCTGGTCTTAAAATGGGGGGGGGGCACTTTCAGACACTGCAGCAGGCCATTAGAAGAGATATCAGGGACAGGCAGATCCCCTTAAGTTCATCTGAAGCAGTTCCAGCTCTTCCTAATTATGTGGAGATGAAAATCTCATTTGTCTATCCCTTTGCCTTTTTGGCTCCAGAGCACAGGAGATGGGAGCAGAAACTCCTGTGCCACCCATGGCTCCCAGGCAGTGCCCCCTGGTTGGGAGGAAGAAGATTTGCTTACTGGGCAAATCCTGGCCATCTGTGCCACTGGAAGTACTGGCAGAAGAATGAAGCACACTGAAACAACAAGAAGGGGGAATGGCCTTTCTTCCCTGGTTTTGTGAATTATTTATCTTGAACCCCTAAATAGAACTGATAAAGCAACTGCCCTGTCCTCACAAGCCTCCCCTCTTTGGCTGAGGGCTGCCTTCAGAAAACACACTTTTCATGCTCAGTTTGTTTTAGGCTGTTGCAGCTGCTAACAAAACACCTTAGACCAGGTAATTGAAAAACAACACAGCATTTTTTGCTCCCAGTTCCAAAGGCTGGAAAATCCAAGAACAAAATGCCACTAGCTTAAAGGTCTTGTGAGGGGCCCCTTCTACACCTACCCACATCSTGGAAGGGACAAAAGGAACTAATAAGCTCTCTCAAGCCTCTTGTGGGCACTAATCCCTTTGTGAAGATCTGTCCTCGTGACCTTTTGGTCTAAAAACAAAAGCAAAGCAACAACAGTTCGGTACCATCACCTTGAGGGTTAGGTTTCAAAAAGAATTTTGGGTCTATCAAGCTCCTAGTCTACCATGCTAGAAGTTAGTATTATTAAGATTTTTGTTTTGAGATGGGATCCTGCTGTTTTGCCCATGCTGGTCTTGAATTCCAGCAATCCTCCTGCCTCAGTGTGTGGGACTACAGG